ATGCACTTGCCTGTGGCCGCAATCGCCGCCACTGCGCGCCGCGCGTTCTCCGTGGCGCAGGCGTTGAGTGCCGCTGGTTCGCGCGTCGTGCACTTCGTCAGGAACGGCGCTGCAACACACCAACATGTGAAAGGCGACGGAGGATAAGGAGGAATAGTTTTCCTTTCGGGTGGCGATAATATGGGACATTTTGAGTAGGAAAGGTTGAGGCGGCTCCACACATTCGATGAGTAGCAGCTCACTACTCACCCAACTCCAAATGTCCCAGTGCTCTGTGAAAGTTTGCGTCGTATGTTGTGTCCAAAAGAACGACATGCGTCGGGAAGGGCGAGTATCGGAAGTTCGGAGCCCGAAAAATAACCGCAATTTTTCAACTTGAGCCTGCAGCCTTTTTTTGGCTTTTAAATTTCATTTTTTGTTATAATTTTCGAAATATTGCAGAATTTTTTTCGAAACTTTTTGAGAACCCTAGAACTCTGTGTTCGCTACTCAGAACTCTCAAAATATTTAGGATTTTCAAAATTCAGCCCGCCAACTTCACACACTTCTCGCCCACCCGTCAACCCCTTCTCCACTTCTCGCGATTCGGCAAGTGGTCGCTCGCTAGTTGTTGCACTTGTAGGGCTGCGTTTATCAACTCAGTTATCTGATAAGTGAAGAAACTGACATACTATCAACGCAGAGCCAAAACCACTGGAGCTCGGATCGTGAAATTTGGAGAATAGGTTTCTCTTTTTCCACTGAAAAAGGATTTTTTCAAAATCCATCCTCTGAGGGGTTACGGGTAGCTGGATTAATGCAATCAGTAATGCATCAAGTCATTGCTTACTGCGAGAACCTCTTTACAAGCTGGCATCTCCACTTCTCAGAAGTTCAAGTTAGCATTACAGTAGAAGTTAGCATTACAAACAAAATTCGGCGTGCAAGATTGGTGGTCATAGCGGAGCCGGCGGGGTGGGAGGAGTGCAAGCAGGAGAGCGGATGGAACGATGGGTGTGTGCGGGCGGGAAGTGTGTGAAGTTGGCGGGCTGAATTTTGAAAATCCTAAATATTTTGAGAGTTCTGAGTAGCGAACAAAGAGTTCTAGGGTTCTCACAAAGTTTCGAAAAAAAGTCTGCAATATTTCGAAAATTATAACAAAAAATGAAATTAAAAGTCAAAAAAGGCTGCTGGCTCAAGTCGAAAAATTCAACATTTTCCAAGAAGTCTCAATTGCGGTCAAAAAGTTCCACAGTTCTCAAAAACATTCAGGCAAAAATGTTTTAAAAAAACAAAATTATTTTAAAAGAAATTTTAATTTTCCGAAAAAATCTATTTCTTTAGATCATTCTTGAAATCATTATCCGACGTCATTGAGGTCATCGTCCGACGTCCATCGTCCACCGTTCATCTTCCGTCATCATCATCCGACGTCAAATAGGGAATTATTCAATATTTTCATAATAATTTTTTCAAGTCGAAATATTGAAGAGAAAAATTTTGAAAATTATATTTCATCAGTTCTGACCATCGTTCCGGACAGCGAACAAGAAAGTTCTAACACAAATATTCGTCCCACGTCGCACACGGGAATTATTCAATATTTTTATATTCGTTTTTCTCAAGTTGAAAATTTGGGCGAAAAGAATTTAAAAATTATATTTCATTAGTTTGACCAGAGTTCTGAGTAGCGAACAAAATGATCTAAAGAAAGTTCAAATTCGGATTTTTTCCGACGTTAAACACGGGAATTACTCAATATTTTCATAACTTTTTTCAAGTCGGAAGATTTGGGAGAAAAAATTTCAAAATTATGTTTTTAAGCGGTTATGACCAGAGTTCTGGGTAGCGAACAAAGAATTCTAAAGAAAGTTCCAATTCCCTTTTTTCGTCCGACGTCAAACTCGAGAATTATTCAAATATTTTCATGTTAATTTTCTGATGATTTGGGAGGGGAAAATCTCCAAATTATATTTCATTACCAACCAACTTAGAAATAAGAAGAAATCTGTGTTAACTTAAATGAAATGCCCTACGAAAGGTCAATCATTAGGTGTTGAATTTGAAGAGGATCTACCCATCTATTTCAATGAGAAGTTTCTGTAGGACACAGTATCTCGAGAATGGAATTTCGCAAGATCAGTACTTAGCGACACACTATTTCTCTTGACAATCACCCATGCTGATACAACCTCAGAAATGATCATGATTTCAAAATGAATTATGCAGCATTATGAAGCATTACTGTTTTTAAAAATATTTGTAACGCCGTGTCACAGTGACGTGGTTACGGGGTAGATGCGGGTACATGGGTACTCCTTCCTCCATTTCCATACGCCTCGTTTCCGAAGAATATTAAATAATACAGAAAAGCCGTGTACTCACGCAGGGGCAACGCCGCCTGGGCCGAAGCAGTGACGAGGACGACAAACGAAATTGTGGGCAGCCACATGGCGATCGCGATCTCTCAATGGTGTCTCGTCGATGGTGAAAGGTGATGCGATGGTACTTGGGCGCCTCGATGTTCGTCAGCTGACTTCTTTTTCTCCGCCGACCCGATGCTTCTCTGTCGCGCGTCGAGAAGTGATTGCGTATCCTAGACGCAGCTCCTTCAGGTCACTGGATCTCGGTGCGCAAGATCCCTTCCCCTCCAGATGTCTAAATGAAAGGAGAGGGAGCCTCCACCCGTCGGCCTTGTAAATTCAAGAAAACACAGTTGCCCCTTTTTTCAAACGAACAATGAGGAAAACGTAAAATATAAAAGTGTACATTCGTTCCGCAACACAGTTGCGTAACTGTTGCATCACAAGTGATACAGGATACTTTCCATGCAGGAAGTGAAAGTAATGTATTGGCGTGAGGGCCACTGCTGAATATGTAGGCGGACTATGTTTTTTCCTTAGTCGTCTTAATCAATGATAGGGCGAGGCATTTATTGATTTATTTGTTTATACGGTATGTAGTGAGTTTATATACTCATATAAGAAACCATAGAATGATACGTCATAATTTTATGAATACAAGATCACATTCATATTCTTAATACATGTGAGTCCAAGTAAAATGTGAATTTGTTTGCTTTTATTATTATCCTAATTCATTGACAAAAAACCCAATCTAATTTGGAATAAGATCTCAATTTTTTTTATCTTGCTAGTTCTTACGTTATTAACAAAGTATTCGTTTGTCAAGCTTCAAGACAATACAGAAACAAATTAACATAGTAAGTAACAAGATCAGGGCATAAAAGCAAAGTAAGAATAGGTGTCACCAAGTCGATTTCGATTTCTACCCACAGGTCGGGGAACACGAAGACCGCAGCGGACACGCTTTCTTTCCGCCCGGAACATGTTACGAGAAGGTGAGGATCACGTGGCTTCGTAGGGTATGTGGAACGCCCGAGGCCTCTGGCACATCAAATAGCATCAAAGAACGTGCATTCTTTCTGAAAGTCACAGATATTTTTATTTAATTATTGCAGTTAACAAGGCGCAAGATGGAGATTGAAAGAGATGTAAATGATACATTTCGTTTTCTGGTTTGTAACATTTTAAATTTTGGAGATATTTTCCACAACTCATTTTCTAATTTCTCATATGATTTCTTTCTAACGTATTCTTTAGTTTTCGAAGGAGAAATACAATTATTTGAGTGTTGGTAATATTGAGTAAAGAGTATTGTTAATATTCGGAAATGAACTGTTGATAAAATGCGTTCTAAAGTTCCTCAAAGCCGCTACCATCCTCCCCACAACAAAGAAGTCGGTAAAGAATATGTACTTCGCAGCCTCGCACATCAGCGCTGTGTAGATTGAAAACCAAAATCATCTTAGTTTTACCTTCTCAAATACGTACGTATTTACCGTGTATTAAACATAATAAAGAAAAAGTTGATGATGAGGAAAATCAATTTCGAGATTCAACCGATATACACTTTTTGAAGAGCCCTGAGATCGAAAAACTGTTGTGAGTGTGTGCGCTTTTAACATCCGTTCGTCTGCCTGTCGGACTCGATCTGATCAACGCCAGCCCTTAAACAATTCCTACAAGTAGTTTCCAGTCGCCTAAATACATATTCCCCGTTCAATCTGGCTCAAATTTCGAAAAACATTCTGAAAATATTGGGGTACGTTTTATATAGTCCTTGGGAAAGTTCCAAATTTTTCTCAAAAATAGCTCCAATCTTTTTCTTCAAAATTCTTAAAAGATATGTCCGGTATTGACTGTTAAGAATGAAATTTCAAAAATTGCAAAAGTTGAAAAATTGTTTAACCTCCCCGTGCAACTACATTATTGGAAACAGATTTTTTAATTCACATGAAATCAGTTTTTAAATTAATATCATGTACATTTTTTCGAAAATATTAGAAGATTTCCCAAAAATTTTAGTGAAATATGGGCATTATTAAAAAATATTAAAAATAGTATATTCTCAAAAAACGATCCAATTTTCTTAACACTTTCTGGCGGAGAGTGGTAAATGCACTAAAGAACATTGTGTTGTATTTTTTACAGTTCGTAAATTACACAAATGTAATTTTTATATTTTTCTTGCGTCGTTAATATTTACCTTACGAGCGTTTTTTATCAAATTAATTAGGGGGAAGGGTTCGTCAAACCTTACAAGTGGACCACAAACTTCGATCCCGGTGGCTCCAAAAGGATTGGACTCGTGGCGGCAAGTGGACCCTTGACTAAGGGAGGACTAATAAAGTCCCAGATATGGGATATCAGGTATGCTAAAAGGGAAGACCTCACCCAGGCCAATATCCTGTGAATTGGGTAGGCCGCAAAGCATGCCCGTAAAGTTAGCATACCCACCTATCACAAAATTGAAAAACAGTATTCCAGAATTTTGTTCTAATTAAGAACTAATTTATACCCAAATTAAAAATTTTCTACCGATGCACAACATCAAAATATTCAACTCTAAAGGTGGGTACGCTAACTTAACGTTAAGTTAGCATACCCACGCATGAAACTAAAAAACTGAATATTCACAAATTTAAAAATTTTGAAACGACGCGCAACATCGAAATATTTAACACTAAAGAGTGGGTACCTAAAGAGTGGGAATACCCACACAAGAAAAAGGCATGAAAAATAAAAACTACATGTACCAAAATTTTGT